TAATTTTCCAAATTATGAATTTTTATTTAATCTAGATTTTCTAAATTTCTAAAAAATTATCTATATTTCTAATCTATGTAGATTAGGTACCTTTTTCTAATATAAATTTTGAAAATTACTTGAAAATACTTAAAATTTGTGAAAATAACTAAAATTCTCCATTTTTTTAAATCTCCCAATTTTTTCAAATTTCCGACAATTTTCAATTTTTTGATATTTCTTTAAATTTTCCAAATCATCAACATTTCCAAAATATTTGAAATTGTCAAAATTTATAAAAAATTTCCAATTTTTTGAATTTAAAGTTATCAACATTTTCAAAAATTAAAAAAAAAAATTAATTGTCAAAATTTCTAAATTGAATTTTTTAAAATCCAAATTTTCCATATTTCCAATTTTCTTTAAATTTCTAAAAAAATTATCTATATTTCTAATCTATGTAGATTTGTAATTTTTTTAAAATCCCCTAAATTTTTAAGATTAGGTACCTTTTTTAATATAAATTTTAAAAATTTCCTTGAAAATACTTAAAATATGTGAAAATAACTAAAATTCTCAATTTTTTTTAAATCTCCAAAATTTTTCAAATTTCGGACATTTTTTAATTTTTTGATATTTCTTTAAATTTTTCAAATCATCAATATTTCCAAAGATTTGAAATTGTCAAAATTTATAAAAAAATTAAAATTTCCAATTTATTAACATTTTCAAAAAAAAAATAATTGTCAAAATTTCTAAATTTATTGAATTTTTTAAAATCCAAATTTCCAAAAACTTATCTAGATTTCTTTTTTTTTTAGTCCCCTAAACTTTTAACATGCCATTTTTTTAATCTAAATTTTTAAATTTCTCCATTTTTTTTTAATATCCCAAGTTTTTAAAATTTACGAAAATTTTTAATAATTCTTTAAATATATAAATTATCAACATTTCCAAAATTTAAAAAAATTCTCTAAATTTCCTATTTTTTTTTAATCTAAATTTCCAAAAATTCATCTCGATTTCTAATTTTTTTTAAATTTTCAAGTACTTAAAATATGTGAAAATTACTAAAATTCTTAATTTTTTTTTAATGTCCCAAATTTTTAAAATTTCCGACAATTTTCAATTTTTTAATAGTTCTTAATTTTAGAATTTTTTTAGAACATTTCCAAAAATTTTAATGGGGTAGTTAAATTTTTTCTGACCTATACTTTTTATGGTTTTATTCAAGGCGTTTTGTAATTTTAAACATTTCTGTGAAATCAAAATTTCAATTAACCCCTTACCGCATAGTGGGTCATATTTGTCACAATTATCATTATATAATATAATCCTTATATTTTGGAGTTAATGCCAAACTATTAGTGCATGAAATGGTCAAATACGGCACAAATTTGTCGTTAGTGCTAATGTAGCGCCATCTGTAAACAGCATGGTTAAGTTTTATGAAAATTTAAAAATGGCTGCCATGTTCTCACGTGCAAGAAAGTGTTGTGAATTCTAATCCACGATTATCTAAGTGTCTACTGGATATTTTTTGCGTTAAAAATAGCTACATAAAGGTAAGACCCTCTAGAATGGATTTTTATAAGAAAACAGCAGTATTTTTTTGTTTTTTGATGTTATTTTACAACAAATATGTTTGTGCCATTTATGGAACAGTATGCACTTTCGTGCAAAAACGTCATGGACATATATGACACAATATGCATTGTGGACTTTGATTTATTTTATTTTTCATTTATTTTAGAAAATGGATCCAAAAATATTTTATGGGTCAAAAAATTTTGGAGCAATGATGGAAATACCAGATGATAGTGAAGATGAAAGACTATCAGAAGATGGTAAACCAGCTATATTAGCCCCGGAGTCAGACTATGAAGATAATATAGATGATGATGATAATCAATCAGAAATAAGCATACCAGAAACGGATGTATGCAGCAGTTCGGATAGCGAAGATGACAACATTTCTTTGGGGCAAGCAAGGCGTAAACTAAAAAAAAATAAAAACAATAATCGTCCTACTTGGAAGCAAGGGAAATTAGTCACATCAGAAGATGACCTAAAGTTTCTAGGTTCTACTGACTTATTGCCACCTGAATTGAAAGAAGTAGACTCTCCTTATCGGTTTTTCAAATTTTTTCTTACAGACGAGATTGTCAAAGATATAGTTTTTCAAACTATATTATATTCAGTTGAAAAAAGACCACAAAAACCATTGGAAATTACTGAGAAGGAGCTCGAACAGTTCATAGGGACCTGTATTTATATGTCAATAGTACAATTGCCAAACGCTAGAAGCTATTGGAACCTGAATCTGAATCACCGGTTGATCTCTGATGTTATGTCGTGCAATAGATGGGAAGAAATAAAACGTTTCTTACATTTTGCGAATAATAACGACGCTATCGCAGCTGGTAATCCCGGTCATGATAAACTTTTCAAAATCCGACCTCTACTCAGTAAACTAAGGGATCAGTTACTGAAAGTTCCAAAGGAGGAATATCTAGCCATAGATGAGCAGATTATTCCTACAAAAGCACGTTCGACCATAAAGCAATATAACCCTCAAAAACCTCATAAATGGGGATACAAGGCGTTCGTTCTTAGTGGTGTCAGCGGGTTTTCGTACGACTATGAAATTTTTGCTGGAGGTCAAACCAATATTCTACCAAATGGTTTTCCTGATCTGGGAGTAAGTTCAAACGTGGTTCTTCGTCTTACACAAACTGTACCAAGATATATAAATCATAAAATATTTTTTGATAACTGGTTCAATAGCGTCCCACTGCAAATTTTTCTGGCAAAACATGGTATGTTACCACTTGGAACAGTCAGGATAAACAGAGTGCCAAACTGTAATATGCCAAAAGAAAAGGAACTAAAAAAAAATGGCCGAGGAGCTATGGTGGAAAAAATCGCCACAATTGATGGTACAAAAATCTCTGTTGTTACTTGGTATGACAACAAAGTGGTGAACATGTTATCTACTTATGCTGGGAGTACGCCCACAGTTGAAGTAAGAAGATTTTCCAAAAAGGATAAGACACACATAACGGTTCCATGTCCAAAAGCTGTTACGATTTACAATAAGTATATGGGCGGAGTGGATCTTCTGGATTCGATGCTGGGATACTATAGGATCAAACTCAGATCGAAAAAATGGTACATGCGTATATTTTTTCATATTATTGATTTGATGGCTGTCAATGCGTGGATTCTTTGGAAGAGAAGTGACAATGAGTTCAGTAATTTAGCTCTGGCAGATTTCAAAATGGCAGTTGCAGAATGCTTGTGTAAAGTCAATACAAAGAGTTTGGCTAGGAAAAGAGGTCGTCCCTGTGCAGCTATGGAAAATTTACAAAATAAGACAAGAAGGGGTCCAGCAACCGATTTTCCAATGGAAGATGTTAGAACAGATGGTTATGGTCATCTACCATTATGGTGTCTTGAAAGGCAACGGTGCAAATATACATGCAGTGCAAAAAGTTATATTAAATGTGAAAAATGTAATGTTTTTCTCTGCCTAAACAAAGACAGAAATTGCTTCTACAAATTCCACTCGGAATAAATTGACAAATATGTCCTTGTTTTTGATTTGTGTAGAACGAATTTTGATTTTTGAATGTTATGTTTTTGCCATAAAAATTTTTTTAAAAATTTAACCGATTTTTTTTAAATATTTTTTACATAACGAATTTTGATTTTTGAATGTTATGTTTTTGCAATTTTGCATATTGTGCCACATATGACCCAGAAAAAAAAAATCAAATTTTAAAAAAATCTAAGTAACCGATTTTTTTTTTAACATTTTTTACATAACTTAGAGATGATATTTCACTCCATAAATTTTTTTCATAATGAAAAAAAAAATCATGCAGTAAGGGGTTAAGTTTACCGTTTTCGAGATATTTACAAAAAAAATCTCCTAATTACGTCACTAGGCTATTGACAACGTTGCCAGCTTTTTCTATGGTTGCCAGTGTGTTTAGTTTAAGATTCTTACGGTAGATGGCGCCACGTTATAATATTTTAGTTTTAAAACCACTTGATCTATAATTTTAGTTGAGAAGAAGAAGAAGAATTGATTTTTTGACGTTTCTTTTTTTCGGGTTATGTTTTTTTTAAATTTAGATTATTGAAAATCAATGTTATTGTTATGTTATTTGTAATTGATATTAGATACCTAAGTGATTTATTAATAACGGACTCCAAAGCAGAGGAATCTTGTGGAATGGTTGGTTACATTGAACATTGGAGCTTTTAAACAAATAAAGTAAGTAGGTACCTATAATTATAATCATATTTTGTCGTAGGTAAATGCATTTCATTAGTATAATGCCTAGTTCTTTATATTCTTTTAGATATATCTTGGACTATTAAATATCAAACAGTAATATGATACCTCGTAATAAGGAAGATAGGTACTCAATGAATTTGGTGACCATCTTTCACTCAACTGACAGTGACAGTATTTGTACATAACCTCTTCGGGTATTTTCTGACATAACCGAATGAAATCATTAACAAGACAACTTGACAACAGGGTAATTTTCAACCAATAGAAATCTTAGAATGTTGGTCACATGGCGAGGTTTGTGACGTCATAAAAATTTATATTTTTTGTAAACATCTCGAAAACGGTAAACTCAATAGAAATTCCGATTTCACAGAAATGTTTAAAATTGCAAAACGCCTTGAATAAAACCATAAAAAGTATAGGTCAGAAAAAATTTAACTACCCCATTGGCAAAACTTTTTTGTTTATTTTTTTCCCTCTCTCAAAATACTCCACACTTTAGAAAACATGTTTTCTTTTATGGTACATTTTTTTTAATTTTTCCTCTGAAATCAAAATTTCTATTAGCTGTGTTTCAAGGGTAGCGCTTTAATATCAAATCAGAAAATCAACCAAAAAGATTGCTCATCAAGTTTTCCGTTGCAAACAATTCGAAGACGGGGACAATTAAGTTGGTCACCCGGCACTACACAGCGACACGTCGTCGGATACATACCTCATGTTGATCAGGTACTGCGCCAGCGCTACAGCGTCGGGGTTGCCGCTTATCGTGATGGTGCGATCCGTGACGCCGCTCTCCCGGTCGTCGCAGTTCGAGATGCGGATCATCGCGCCCGAAATCTGCCGAATCTCCGCGATCTTCGTGCCGCCCTTGCCGATGATGCACCCGATCAGCTCGTTCGGTACGGTCATCTCGTGCGTCTGCTGGTTCGTGTTCTGGGAGCTGCGCGAGTTGGAGCTGCGCAGCTGCGAGCCCGCCAGCGCCGCCAGGGCTGAGACAGAAACCACCGGTTGTCAAATGCCACGTTGCGCTCGGCAAGCTTTGTTGCAAGCATTGCAGTATTTAAGTACAAAAAAACAAGGTATGTTCTTGCGCGTTTGATAATAAATAACCAAGATATAGAGGATTTTCAAAACTTGCGATGTTGTCAAATTGTGCAAAATTTCCCAGAATCTGGGAATTTTTAAAAAACATTTCAACGGACGTTTATGACCTTTGCAAGTGTTTTTTAGAAATTTTTTTAATTTCGATAAATAAAAATTATAAAATTGTTATTTTTAACAAATAAATAATAACGCATTAACGTTTTTAATGTGCTTTAAAACGACGTAAACTTTTAAAATCCGATAATAAATAACCATGTAGAGGTTTTTCAAAACTTGCGATGTTGTCAAATTGTGCAAAATTTACCAGAATCTGGGAATTTTTAAAAACGTTTCAAGGAACTTTTGCAAGTAATTATTAGACATTTTTTAATTTCGATAAATAAAAATAATAGAACTGTTATTTTTAACAAATAAATAATAAAGCATTGTATATTTTTTCAAGCGTTTTTAATGTGCTTTAAAACGACATAAACATCTTTAAAATCCGATAATAAATGACCAACTTATAGAGGTTTTTCAAAACTTGCGATGTTGTCAAATTGTGCAAAATTTCCCAGAATCTGGGAATTTTTAAAAACATTTCAACAGACATTTGCAAGTAATTATTAGACATTTTTTTATTTCAAAAAATAAATATAATAAAATTGTTATTTTTAACAAATAAATAATAACGCATTGTATATTTTTTCAAGCGTTTTAAATGTGCTTTAAAACGACGTAAACTTTTTAAAATCCGATAATAAATAACCAACTTATAAAGGTTTATCAAAACTTGCGATGTTGCCAAATTGTGCAAAATTTCCCAGAATCTGGGAATTTTTAAAAAACATTTCAACGGACGTTTACGACTTTTGCAAGTAATTATTGGACATTTTTTTAATTTCAATAAATAAAAATAATAGAATTGTTATTTTTAACAAATAAATAACAAAGCATTGTATATTTTTTCAAGCGTTTATAATGTGCTTTAAATCGACGTTAACTTTTTTAAAATCCGATAATTAATAACCAAGTTATAGAGGTTTTTCAAAACTTGCGATGTTGTCAAATTGTGCAAAATTTACCAGAATCTGAAAATTTTTAAAAACATTTCAACGGACATTTATGACTTTTGCAAGTCCCGACCACTTGAGGGCCGTTATAGAAAGTCCAAATAAGCAAGTTTTGGTACAGCTTCTATTTTAAAATAACACGATAGAATTTAGTCAGTTTTGCTGTTTGAAGAGAATAGTTGAATCTTTTAATAGTTGTAAGAGAGTAAATTTAACTCTTGAATAAACAAGTTTAAATGTAGAATCAGTTTGTGTTATAAATAGTGGTACTAGGTATGTTTTTATTTTTATTGTTACTATTATAATCTAAGGTCACAAATATCATAATGAGTGGTTAATTATTTAATATTTAATTTATTGTTATTTTATCTTGTTATTTTAAAAGAAGGAATAGGCTGAACTTTTTATCTTAATGGTGTGGTTGGACAAACCAAATTACATATTTTATAATTTTTATATTTCTAATTAACATTTACATGTATACTTTATTTTGTACAGTTTATCTTATTTTATTTAATTGATAAATTGATATTCATTACTTAATATGGTGACTTTGTTTCAGGTTCTGCATATCAAATGAGTTATTTAGTTAAGGAACTTTGTTGGCGGTTTCTGGTAACTTAACCTAAATTGCAATTATTTGTAAATACAGTTTTGTAATAAATAAATTTAGAAAAAATATGTTGTTTAAATTTTTTTGCAATTTTAATGTTGTAACTTATATTTGCTTTAATTTATTTTATTGAAAACATTTGACTTATACATGACTTTAAAACAAGATATTTTATTTGAAAACCTAAAAACTAAAATTAAATTTTTCTTAGCACTTTTTTCATTTAATTTATTTGGTATTTAGTATATATTATTTACTTTAAAACAATATATTTAATTTGATTAAAAAACCATATAAAATAGTTTTTTTTCATTAATAAAATTTTCTTTAATTCTTTCATTCTAATATGTTAATAAAAATCGCAACTGAAGAACATACCTTGTTTTCTTGTACCATGGTTGCAAGGATGTTTTTAAGACAAACAGAACTTTTATTGTGACGAAAACGTTATGTAATGCTTGAAAAACATAATTGCAGCACTGGGAATGGCAGTAATAATCAGATCTCATAATCTTTACGTTCATAGAGCCACTGTTCAAGATGCTTAACACAACCTGGGTTGTGTTCAGTGCCCACTGATGCAAAATGAACTTTCTCTTACGGTTATGATTGTCATCATTGCAAAAGTATTGAAATAAAAATTAAAAGGTTCTGCATAAGTCAATTTTAATTAGTTAAAACTATTTTAAAACTATTAATACGCTAAAGAAGTATCGTGTTTTCGCAACGCGCGCGCCATCTGGTGGACTTCAAAAGCATTGCGTGAGTTTAAGAATTGTCAACAATAAATTTAAAGCACCGATTATACATCATTTTTAAATATGTAGTTTTTTCTTCAATTGCACAGCTAAATCGCGCACGTTACTTGTGTTTTACGTTGCAAGGAAAAAATTAAAAAACTTTTTTAGTACTCGATTTCGATTGATTATAATAATTAGGAATAATTATTCCTTATATCATTGATTAAGAAACTCAACGCTTAAATGCTTATATAGTTACGTTAGTGTGTGTATTTTATCACAGGGATCATGGTGAATTATTGTGTTTTTAATTGTAAATAAAATTCAAGTACTAAATCGTTGCATTTTCATGTTTTGCCAAAGGATCCAATTCGGTAAGTACATTTGTTGGTGCAGAATTAACTAATGATAACTTTACCTAATAGGTATAATTTATATTTAAGTTTGGCCTTTTTTAAGAAATTGTTAAAAAATATTTTTGCACAAACATAACCTTAAAATCAACCATTTTTTTTATTTGAGTTCTCTAAAAAACGCCGACAACTGCATTTTAAACAACAAAATATACCTCTCGAAATACACCCAACAAATCGTGTCACGGTTTTTTATCGATATCTTCTAACATTTTCTGGCTTTATTCTCAAAAACACTAGTTTGTAACCTAAGCGTTTGACAGCTGATTACACTGTGCGACAAATTTTGACCTTACAATTTGAACAGGTATGAAATGTGGAAAAATCGAATCTATTCAACCCCCAAAACTAATCTTTAAAGGGGTTTTGCTAGTTTAGCTCGAATAATGGAGATATAGGTATAAAAGCCCCTACAACTTAAAAAATATGAATTTTATAGAAAAATGCTCGGACACGTCGATTTTTATTTAATATGACGCAATTTTCAGTTAAAATTTTTATTTTTTCACAGATTCACCCCCAGCCACCCCACTTTTAAGAAAACCGACCCTTTGTTATACCTTAAATAACAGGTAATGTACTCTCTAAAAATGAATTAGTCAAAAGTAACTAATTTAATAGTTAATAGTGGAAAATGGAAAATTGACTATATTTCAAAAACTGTTCCACTTTTTTAACTTTTGACGACTTTTTCGGATTCAGGAGAAAATTTTACATAAGAATTGGCTGTTAAATTTTGGGATACCATGTTATTCCATGGTTAACCATGGCACAAGTGAAAAAGCAGCCACTATTAACTATTAAATTAGTTACTTTTGACTAATTTATTTTTAGAGAGTACATTACCTGTTATTTAAGGTATAACAAAGGGTAGGTTTTCTTAAAAAAAAAAGTGGGGCGGCTGGGGGTGAATCTGTGAAAAAATAAAAATTTCAAAATCAACTGAAAATTGCGTCATATAAAATAAAAATCGACGTGTCCGAGCATTTTTATATAAAATTCATAATTTTAAAGTTCTAGGGGCTTTTATATATCTCCATTATTCGAGCTAAACTGGTAAAACCCCTTAAAGGATTTGTTTTGGGGGTTGCCTAGATTCGATTTTTTCAGATTTGATCCCAGTTCATTTTTTGTGTTGCACAGTGTTATTAAAAGTTGTACTTTTGTTACGATGATAACAGCCGAGTGGTGGCGCTACTAGCGATACTTCTTTAGCGTATAGGCAAGTTAGGTTGTCTGCCATTTTCCTCCTTTTGTTTACATTAACTCTGCCACTACTTTTTGTCAAAAAATGACAGAGAATGGTAGACAAAATATACACTCACAGGCAAAATAATCGATCCACACAAATTTTCGATGAATTTCAATCGCAAATAACTTTTTTATTTGATGTCGGATTTAAACAAATATTAAAGAATATTGTAGATACATTAATGAGAGAATAGCTCAGATTTTAAAAATTACTAAAAAATAAACGTACGTTTATATTATACAGGTTTAAACAAAAAGATGTTTTTTACCATAAGTTTAAGACACTCTGTACAGTGGCAAAACCGTATATTGTTCTAAATTAAGTTTTAATTATCAAGTCACATCTATTTTTACCAGTTTTGTTTTGGTTCACCTTGATATATTTATTTTTGTGGAAAATATGATTTTTTTTTAAAACATTGCAATTTCCAATATTTTTCCTATATGAAGAACTAAGGTTGCTATGGTCCATGGACCATAGCCTATGGAGGATGACAGTGACAGTTTTGTTGAATCATCCCATACTTGGACATGTCATACACAGCTTTCAAAAGGTATCAAATTGTTTTTTGTAAATTAATGTGTTAATTTTGAGGTTTCTTCTTACTTTTAAAAATGTCTCCGACTGATGTTGCCCTTTGTACTTTACTTCTTGTGACGTTTAAAACACTTGCCACGTAATACTGTGACCGTCCATCCTGGATTAAATTAATGGCTCTGGCAACATCAGTCGGAGACATATCCATTTTTTAAAGTGAGAAGACACCTCAAAATTTAAACATTAATTTGCAAAAAACAATTTGAGTTTTGAAAGCTGTGTATGACATGTCCAAGTATGGGATGATTCAACAAAACTGTCACTGTCATTCTCCATAGCCTATGGATAGACCATAGCAACCTTAGTTCTTCATACAGAAAAATATTGGAAATTGCAATGTTTTTTTAAAAAATCCATACTTTCCACAAAAATAAATATATCGAGGTGAATCGAAAACAAAACTGTTAAGAATACATGTGACTTGATAAATAAAACTTAATTTAGAACAATATACGGTTTTGCCACTCTACAGAGTGTCTTAAACTTAGGGTAAAAAACATCTTTTTGTTTAAACCTGTATATTATAAACGTACGTTTATTTTTTAGTAATTTTTTAAAATGTGAGCGATTGTACATTAATTTATCTACAATATTCTTTAATATTCGTTTAAATCCGACATGAAATAAAAAAGTTATTTGCGATTGAAATTCATCGAAAATTTGTGTGGATCGATTATTTTGCCTGTGAGTGTAGTTAAAAATAGCTTCAAAAATCGACAGATGGGCAACTTCAATGTGTACTTTTACTTAAAAAAAATAATAACAAATGTGGGGTAGCTTACATTGCTTACCTGCAGGGTTTAAACCCCCTGTATTTGCTGGTGCCAAACCGCCCAATCCTAGCGCCGCCAATCCTGCTAAAGGGCTCTTGCCTAGCGTCATCTGCAACAAACCGAGTTTCCTGTGATACATCCCCGATTTTTTTTATAACAGTGACAATCCTCAAACTCGCTTGTACTCGCTTAAAAACTACACCACAACATTTATTTCCTGTATTTTGTAAGAAAACCCGTTATTTGCGTTTTACCGTTCCCTCAGATCTCATAATCTTTTACTCACAGAGCCAAAGTCTTTCTTTACTTGCTGCAACAAGTGTTGCAGACAGTTTCAACTGTTCAAAAGAAGACACCTCTCGAGATAAATTTTGTCATCACAGGAAGTTTACAAGTAAAATGTCAAAAATAAGTTGACCTTTGCCCTTTGACCTTTTACATATAAATAAAGAAAATCGTATGTACTCCCCACCTGCAAATAAGAACAACATGCACACGAGCAGTAAATTTATTTAAAATCTCAATATACTGAAAACGATAAAAAAAATACTAAAAAAACGAAAACCATAGTTAACAAATTTAATCAACGTTAAATTCCAATAGGCAGCCAAGTATTAGTAGTAGGTATGTGTATGATGTAAAAAAAGAACATGCAGATCTTAAAATACAAGAAACTCTTTGTGTAGTGTAATATTTAGCAGTACGTATTTGTATTATACAGTGTGATGTAATTAATGTAATATATTATTAAAGATAAAGAAAAAATATGCATTAGAAGTTTTTATATTTTTTGTGATACGCCACTGGTTAAATAAAAACTCAATAAATACAAAAGTTATATGCCCTTAAAGCTCTAATACCCTCTGTATTTATTTACTCATCCAGCTTTTAGCTTAAGCAATGATTAGAAAATTTAGTACCTATTTTAAAAACTCCATATCTATAAAATTAATTTTTTCGTTCTGTTTACTCAGATGAAATTAGGACAAGTTCACAGGTTAAACTTTAAACATTCAATTTGTGTAAATAAATCCAAAAGCACTTTCCTTAGTTCCCTAGATTCTGTCATAAAAGTTGCCAGATTTTGTTTAAATTTACCTTCATTACAAAAACGATATATTACATTAATTACATAACGCCCTGTATATTATACATATATTATATTATGAAAATAAAAACTACATCTTTAATAAACTTACTACTACTAAAAAAATATTGGCAAAACTGCCAAAAATGCTATGGTGGAAAAATAATTAAAAAACAAGATGACACCATGCAAGCTGACTAATAAATATATATTCCTAAATTTATGGAAATATGAAAGGAAAAATTTAGAAAGTGTTTCTTAATATGAAAAACAACAAACTAGCATCAATTTGGAGTTTATAAAAACTATGCTAAAAATTATTCATTAATGGTTAAAATACATTCTAATGTGGGGTGAGAAGATATAGAGAAATAAGGCACAATGGGAGCAATTTTTTAAGTTAAAAAGGGTGTCTAGCAATGTTTTAAAATTATCCCTATCCTCATGATTTTTTATTTGAAATTGAATTTAATAACTTAAATCATTAAAAAAAATTACTTATATCATAAATAGTACTTTATTTTATAAGGAGCAAGTATAAAATAAAATATACTATTTTTGAAACATAATAAAAATTGACATTTTGTTTGCTGGTGAATTTTTTGTTGATTTGTAGTATTTTCTTTATTATTAGGTCAGATGAAGATTTCATGATGGGTACTCCCCCTGAAATAGCAGACGTTGCCAGATTTACCACTTCTGCGAAATGTCACATTTAAGTGTCATTTGAAGAAAAACATTTTTTGAAAAAAAAAACATTTTTTACTGCTAGATACTCCTTTCATTAAAATGTCGACTTTTGAATATTAAAATATTAAATAAGAAACATTTATTGGGCTTCTTATAACATTTTTGTAAGGGCAAATAATAACTGACTATAGAAATTCCGTCAAATGCAAGACTTTTGAAGAGTTAGTCTATGAACCTGAAAAAGTCGCTACGCCCCTAATATTTCTCCCACTGTGTTAAGGGAAGAGATTTAAAATTTTCGGAAAAATTGATTGCCCAGAAAAAAACCGGTTCTTTTTCAAAGAAGCTTGATATGAGGCCATTACCCTGCTTAAAATACCCCATAGAGACCTATATAAAATAATCTATCGGGCGCTACCGGATTCAATATGTGCATTTGTCCATGGTTTTTTCCGGATACGGCCCGATAGAAAATTTATAGGAAATTACCTATAGGCACACCATAACTTTTAAATTTTCCCTATTGAGACCGATAGCAAATAACTCAATGAAGGATATATAGGGATATCCTTATAGAACAACCATAAAACATTTGACAAAATTTTATCCTATGGGGAAAAAACTATATATATCGGAATTTTATAGTATTTGTAAAAGTTGATTTTATTATTATTATGTAAAAAATGTTTTTATTCTAAATATTTATATATTTTAAAAATGTTTATATTCTATTTTATACTATTGATATTGTGACGAATCCTGAATGTATATTCTAAATGGATAAATAAATAATTTTTAAATTTATGTGTATTTTCCCCATTGAAACCAATAGCAAATAAATCAAGGGTGGATGTCCCTATAGAACCACCATAAATACCAACTATCATAATGGGTCCGATACATACCGATAAACCCTATAGAAACACCATACATTCCGATACAAATATCTGTCGGTTTAAACAGGGTCTCTATGGGGTATTTTAAGCAGGGTATTTGCAAAGGTCTTTTTTCGCTAATATAATCAGATTTTTGTTAAGGAATACGCTAAAGAAGTATCGGATTTTCGCAACGCGCGCGCCATCTGGTGAACTTCGATAGCATTACGTGAATTTAAGAATTGTCAACAATACATTTAAAGCATACGAACTGTGCATCATTTTTAAATAAATAGGTAGTTTTTTCACAAAAGAGAGTCTTACTCGACAAATTTTGTTCAATTGCACAGCTAAATCGCGCACGTTATTTGTGTTTTACGTTGCAAGGAAAAAACTGGTTTAGTACTCGATTTCGATTGATTATTCCTTATATCATTGATTAAGAAACTCAACGCTAAATGCTTATATAGTTACCTTAGTGTGTGTATTTTATCTAAGGGATCATGGTGAATTATTGTGTTTTTAATTGTAAATAAAGTTCAAGAACTAAATCCAATTCGGTAAGTACATTTGTTGGTGCAGAATTAAGTAATGATAACTTTACTTAATATAATTTATATTTAAGTTTGGACATTTTTAAGAAATCAGTAAAAAATAATTTTTGCACAAACATAACCTTAAAATCGACCTTTTTATATTTGAGTTATCTAAAAAACGCCGACAACTGCATTTTAAACAACAAAATATACCTACGAATTCATGGCAATATAATATTATATATACAACATAATATAATGGTATTTTACCGTTTAGTGGAGACTTTCTTAATCAACGCTTTTAATAATGCTAAATGCTGTTTAAATTTAGACGACTTATTAGTTTGACGATTTTTACTGAATTGGAATGTTTACACTTTTCACGTTAATCACCACTAAAATGTGAATTTATTGTATCTAATAGGTAGGTACAATTTATATTTACAGAGACTGTTCGCAATTTATTTCTTCATTCAGATTAACAATGTATATTGGAAAACCACGGTTTTTTTTCGATATTTTTTAACGTTTTCCGGCTTTATTCTCAAAAACACTCGTTTGTAACACACGCGCTTGACAGCTGCGATACTTCTTTAACGTATAGGTATGAAATTTTTGGTTTTCATTCGGCATTTTTTCAATATTCCCGAACCGTTAAATCCCTAGTTGAGGAGGGCGCAACAAACGTTGGGGTTGCGGGGGGGCGACACAACTACAGACACACAACATCGGCTCGAGGTTGGGGGGGGGTTGAGGGGGGCGAGTGGTGGGGGTGGGGAGCACGAATACGATAAACTTACGTCTGGCATGAGATGCGCGGGTGGCAACGCCGCCTGCATGTGTCCGTTGTTCTTGAGGTGGTCGAGCGCCATGAGGGGGGGCCCGACCGGGGCGAGGCCGGCCAGCGGGTGGCCGAGGTGGGGGGGCAAGTGGGGAGCGAGAAGGGGGGTCATTGTTATCGTGGTGGTGTTACTTACGTCTGTGTGGGCGGGAACGGCGTAGTTGCCTTGGATGGTATAGGCCTGTCCACCTGCTAGGATCACGGGGCCACCCACTTGGGGTTTGGGGCGGTAGGGGATGGTTGCTCCTTTGGGAGGGGACTGAAAAGAAAAAATTAACATTTTTTTTCATTCTTCCAAGAGATTTTACGGCGCCGCACGCTGTGGCCAGTCCGGTCCACTTAAAAATAATGTTACCTTTTGAATAAAACACTCTTTTATCATAATCAACGGATTTTTCAATTTCACAAAAAATAACCGATATTTTGACAATATTTTGACAAGCTATGTTAACAATTAACAATCTAATATACAAGGTGTCCCTGAAATGCACTACACAGACTTTTATGTTGTTTACAACTTTTTCCCCAGTTACTGTATAGTAGCACCAAATATTAGTTAAATATGCAAATATCATTTATTAATTATATAAAATAATAAATGAATATTAATTTTATTGTAATATTCCTTAATTTAGTAAATATTTTAATTATATATATATCTATTCTAGATAATATTTGAAATCATTAATTTTGAATACTTTTTAATAAATAAATAAATAAACACTTTAATTAGGTATAAAATATGTTTTCATAATATTTAATCGATATAATAAATATATTCTAAAACCTATAGGTATTCTTTAATTAATAAAAATAAATAATAATAAAAATAAATAAATTTTAAATAATATTAACTAAATATTTACTATATATTAAAAAACATATATTTAAAAAACTTTTTATTGTATATTAAATACATATTTAATGAATATTTGGTGCATCTGGGTTTGTGTTGTTTATGGGGCAAAATTTACCAAGTGTACCAGGTGAAAAAATTTTTGTCACCGATTTTGTTTAAACTTTACTTATTTGTTGTTCTTATAACAAAGAATCATAGCATAAATTTTTTTTGCTCTAGGATTGTTCATTCAAGAGTTATTGATTATTGAAATTTATCGATTTTTTACTTTTTGGTGAAATCGCTTTTTATTTAAAAATTCATAACTTCTATTCATCTCTTTATTAAATATTTCAATTTAACCTCCTTAAATGATTTTTTCCGTACTTTTTAATGGGCTATACCGTTTTTGCAAAAAAATAAAAATTGCAATTTTTTTTTGAAATTTTGCAAAATTTTGCATTTTTTAAAACTATGTGTATTTTTTAATTTTTTTTTAAAATAGCATAAAATCCAAGTTTATTATGTTACCTTTAAATAAAAAAAAAATTAGAGTGGGCCCGACATGTAGAAGGGAAGTTTTTCATATTTGAATGCCGCACGGTCTAGCCATCGAATAGCTACTACACTGCCGTATGCGTTTATACCTAGTGGATGCGAGTAAAGGAATACAAAATGATAATTTAAAATGTAAAATTATGTTTGAGTAGTCAATGATGTATTTTAAATATTTACACTGCCGCACGATATAGTTTTTTAACTGTATTTTTTTGCACAAATTGTTTAAGCATGGGTCTACATAGATTTCGCAAGGAGGACCGATGATATTAAATAAAAAAATTATTGTTATAACCGTAACGGCTTGCCTATAAGCTGAATGGCGCCTTTACGGTTATAACAATACATTTTTTATCATCGACCCTCCTTGCGAAATCTATGTAGACCCATGCTTAAACAATTTGTGCAAAAAAAATAAAGTTTATATACAAAAGTGCTCTTTTAGTTCCACCCTTACTTCGTAAGAAGTCCCATAAGCCAACTGAATGGCTTGTGCGGGTTAGGGGTAGGAACGGACCGCGGGCTTAAAGTCCCCTCCGAAGGACTAATACACAATAAAAAAAACTAGGTATAAACGCATACGGCAGTGTAGTAGCTATTCGATGGCTAGACTATGGCAAGCCGTTTTAGTTTTTATTACACATGGCTATCAAGTATCATTTTAATTCGACTTGATTTCCATGAGACATTAGATAATTGAAATTATATGTATTTTCCTTAAGGGAAATTACATTTTAATTACAAATTATAAATAAAATTCCTTTTTTAATAAGCATTGAAATTTTGGGTACATTAAATTGAAAAGATTAGATGTAGAGGATGATTTACATTCGAAATTGTAATAAAAATACTAAAACATTTCATTTTTATTTGAAATAATAATAAAAATTATTTTTATGACAAATAGTAATTTTAATGCAAATTTCGTTAAGGAAAGTAGTTTTTATTATAATTAAGAATTTAAATGCATTTCCGTTAACGGAAATGCAATTTCCCTTAAGGGAAATATCATTTCTGTTAAGAGAAATTGTATTTCCCTTAAGGGAAATAGCCTTTCCGTTAAGGGAAATTGGCGCCATCTATGAGAGGACGGCTGAAGTTCAAATAGTTAATTTTATCAAAATTCTATAAAATGAAATTATTGCACTGTGATTTTACAAAAGATTTATTAGTAAAAATAATTTTTTTGATTGTTACCTTTTTAATTTAAAAACCAACCGTTACACCTGTTTACATCCACCTACAAAATATCACCCACCAGTGTTGCCAGATGTAAAAAGTGAAATTATCGACAAATCATCGACAAATTATTGACAAAATTATCGAATTTTCAGAAAATTGTCACAAAATTTGTATTGATAATGCTATAATAATAGTAATATTAATAATTATGGGTACTACTCGAGAAAACCAAACTCTCCGAATCGAATCGCGATGACACCGATCGACTTTGGAATCGCATCATTCGAATCGAATGTTGTGTGGCAACGCCGCATGTGTAAGGTGTGTTTTAACGTTTCTAATAAAGGTTATTAAAACGAAAAGAAGTAGTAAATAACAAACTGTAGTAGTAATATTATTCATTATTGTTAATTGTGTCATATTTGTTGCATTCAAACAAAATGAAAGATTCTGGCATCCCAACCAAAGTTAGCAGAACTCTGTAAGCGGTGGAACCTTCGGCATCTTCACCACAGATAGCGCCACTAATTTCTCTTAAGGGAAATGTAATTTCTGTTAAGGGAAATAGCATTTCCGTTAAGGGAAATAACATTTTCGTTAAGGGAATTGTAATTTCCCTTAACGGAAATAAAAGTTTATTTTTGTTTAGTTAAAAATAAAAGTAATTCGAGCTATTTTTTGTACACATGATCATTAAGTCTCATTTTAATTCGATGTTATTTTCTGATTCTCTAAATATTGTTAGACTCTATGTATTGCGGTTCTAAATTTTATTCGGGAACAACATTTCAATGAGTATTTTAAATTAAAATGTTTTTAATTTTTATGTCATTTAGGAAAGTATAAAACTATATCCTTAAGGACAAATGCATTTATATTCGTAATAGTAATTTTAATTCGTTTTATTTTAATACTTAGCCTAGTCTAACATAAATAAAATGTAACATTGTATCCAAGTCAGAAGCTACTTTAATAAAATTGAATTAAAATAAAATCCTTTTAATGTGTCATAAAATTGCTCCAAAAAACTAAAACAGTACAAATAATTTGCATTAAAATTATAATTAGTAAATTTAATACAATTTCTGTTAACGAAAATTGCTTTCACGTTAAGGACAATATTTAAAAAAACAATGGAAATAAATACAACAAATGCATTATTTTTACTATTTGTAAAGAAAATATGCATTCAATTTTGAAATTATAATAAAAATGTAATTTCCCTTAAGGAAAATACATATAATTTCAATTATCTAATGTCTCATAGAAATCAAGTCGAATTAAAATGAGACTTGATAGCCATGTGTAATAAAAACTAAAACGGCTTGCCATACTAGACCGTGCGGCATTCAAATATGAAAAACTTCCCTTCTACATGTCGGGCCCACTCTAAATTTTTTTTTTATTCAAAGGTAACATAATAAACTTGGATTTTATGCTATTAAAAAAAAATAAAAAATACACATTGTTCCAAAAAATGCGGTATAGCCCATTGAAAAGTACGGAAAAAATCATTTAAGGTGGTTAAATTGAAATATTTAATAAAGAGATGAACAGAAGTTATGAATTTTTAAATAAAAAGCGATTTCACCAAAAAGTAAAAAATCGATAAATTTCAATAATCCATAACTCTTGAATGAACAATCCTAGAGCAAAAAAATTTTATGCTATGATTCTTCGTTATAAGAACAACAAATAAGTAAAGTTTAAACAAAATCGGTGAATTTTTTTCACCTGGTACACTTGGCAAATTTTGCCCCTTATACAGATTAATAATCGTTTTAAACGTTGTGCTTCTTACAGAGGCACTTGTAGGGTTTAAAAGTGTCGAAAAAAAAAAACAAAAAAATTGAGGAAAAACGTTTTTTTCCCAGGCCTCGGAAAAAATGTTTTTTTTTTTGGAAAATATACTCATTTAAAAAAAAGTAGCTAGTACTATTATTTTAATTCAAAAAAATATTTATTATTAAAGAAAAAAAACCTAAATTGAATTGATTTGATTGAAAATTACAAAATTATAATTTTATAAGTCAAAGTGTCAAATAAAATTTAAGTCAATACTTCACCGAATATGTATTTTTTTGCGACCCTGGATTAAAATAATAGTATATTAAAGAACTAATGTCTTAAGACGTCAATTTTTCGCACGCGGACAATTTTTGTAATGGACGAGTGCGACAAAAGGTCTTATGACATGAGTTCTTTATGCTATTTTATCTATTTTGTAAAAAAAATAATTTTATACCTTAAATTTAATTTGGTCGAATTTTACTTTAGATAGTTGGTATCAGTCATTGGTTTAACAAAATGTCAAAATCGATTCGCCATGCCGTCCTTAATTTACTTAATTACAATAAGCAGCTATTAATGTTAAAGAAGAAAAAAAATGGATTTTCTTTGGTGTTAAACAAAATTTATTGCCAGAAAATTCTCGTAAGTACTAGAAAAATCATAAAAATATTATAACCAATATGCAAAATATTATGCTGTATAGCCAACCTATAAAATCAAAATTTTGGGTGGGATAAAGTATCTCATTACAGCACCGAAAGCGGTGTTATAATGAAGTCATTATGAAATAGATAAAAGAAATAATTATTAAATCATAATATTATATGATTATAATCAGCGTTGGAAATTGACTTTTTAATAAAATGAAAGTCAATTTTTCTAAAAATTTCCCTATTTTTCTGTTTTTTTTTCTTAATGAGACTTAAAGTGTCATTTTACTCCTCTTTTGTAAAAAAATAAACCTTATTTTATCAGGGCTGTCATAAAACTGTCAAATGTCAATTTTAAGGTTAATTTGTGGGTTTAACCTTAAAATTGAGATATATTTAATAAAATGAAAAACTGACTATATTTTGGTTATTATCAACTATTGTATAGAGGTATGTCGTATTATTTCGGTCTGTGGTATTATTTTGTACAGGCATTTTAGAGACACCTTGTATAACTATTAAAAACAAGTTTGTTATTTTTCTTATAAAATAAAAAATAATAGACAATTGAGTAAAAAACATGGTTTCCAAAATATGGTAAGATAGGTACACTAAATAAAATTAAATTTTTACTACATTTTTTGACAAAATCTTGTAAATCAAATTTTTTTTTTCTTAAAAATATTATGATCAAACATGTAATCTAGGTAGATAAAAATATATGATTCAATGAATTTTAAAAATGATAATAAATTAAAATATTAAAAAAATAATTTGGACATTTATTTTTCCAAAATCAGATCTCATAATCTATTGCACAAAGAGCCACAGTTTTCCTGAAATACTGTGAAAATCACAGTCAGCATCTACTGATCTCCAGAAAAACACCTCTAGCGAAATGAGTTTTCATCATATAAAAAAATTGACATAATTCTTTGACATATTAACCAGGGATGTTGCAGATTACAAATTTTATTAAGGAATTTAGGAGGTGTACTTAAAAAATAAGAAAAAAAAATTATTATTTTTAACAAAAATATAAATAAAACTAGTTTTTTAGCCAAATCGGTCGACAAGTTTTTTTAAATAAAATTAAAAGTAAGGTAAAATTACTACTTTTGTAGTAGAAATTTCACCACACTTTTAATTTTATACAAAAAACGCGTCGATAGATAAAAAATTAGGCCAAAGTCAAATGATGTTATATTTATATTTTGAGAAAAAAAATGTTAACCAATTAGTTAGTAATTAACAATAATTGTAATGTTATTGTTATTCAAAAATCTCCTAATATAAAAATATAAAGTTTGCAAAATACAGCAAAAAATTCTTTATATTGTTTACATTTTTAGCTATCATTTATTAGAAAATTAAAAATCCTTTTGTTTGATATGGCTAAAAATGACAATTTCGTTGAAGTCTAGGAGCTACTACATGGATTTTGTTTGTTAGGTATATTTTGTTGTTTTTTAAGAAAAATGTAGATTGTGATGTATCATTTTAAAAAGAATTTAATAAACTAGAACCTAAAAATATATATTTTTTAAATTACTTTTTAAAAAAGAAACTACCTTAATCAAATGCAGTCAGGTTGGCCTATTTATTTGAAATAAAATATTTTTAAAAAACTTCAAAAATTGGCAAAAATTCTGCATCAACAACATCCCTGATATTAAGAGTAAAAAAAAAAGAAAAAAAAGTACCTCGAGCATGACATTACAGATGTGATAAATGCACTGGGTGATGGCCTCTCCGGTACCGGAAATGGTCACGGCCCTCTCCGTGGAATTGGGCAGCATCTCCGACGCCACCTGGATCGAGGCGCCGGTCACCTCCCTGATCTCCTTGATCTTGGATCCCCCCTTGCCGATCAACGAACCGCACTGGCTCGCAGGCACGATCAGACGGAGAGTGATGGGCGGCCTCGGCACGCCACTGCCTCCGCTGCTTATGTCCTGGAACTGGGAACACCACTGAGGGATCCCATCGCAACAACACCACATTAACATGTGCACAATACGGGGTTCTAACTACTACTACTACTCGCTACTGCTCCTACTACTAGCACGCCGCTGTTCTAAAATGCCATTTTCGGACATATTTTTTAAACTAAATTTGCCTAAAAATTTAATTATACACTGCGAGTCAAAATTAACGCACAATAAGTAACTACTAATCTTTACGAAATTTTAAGTAAAACCGTAGAGCTTTGAGGCAATATTACTTACTTTAAGTAAATATTTTGTTAAATGATAATAATAATAATATATTTATTTAGCCTCTGCTATTTAAAACAAGTATACATTTACATTATTTTAACTTTTTAAATACATATATCACAAGTTTTCTATCACAAAATATTTTAACAAGTTTTTAAAATGAATGAAGTTATCACAGTATTTAATTTCATGTGGTAAATTATTATACAATTAAAATCCTTTAAAAAATATACTTTTGCTATATTTACTGGATGTTGGTTTATCTATATAAATATCTTTGTCTTGCCTTGTTGGATAGTTATGAATATCACAGTTTAATTTTATTTTTTTAGTTAAATATATGGTTTAATATTTTAAAAACAAAGATTATTCTTTGACTAACAGACATAAAATTTAGTACATTTAACATTAAATTTACAGGTGTGTATTTGTTACATAATGTAACTTACATTGCAGTATTACTCTCATAACCTTATTTTGTAGAATTTGTAGTATTTCTTGTTCATTTTTGTCCAAAGAGAATTGTAGAGCAATAATGTTATTTTAATATTTATACTTAACTCTCTTCCAATTCTTCTTAAACAATATATTTTTTTTATTAATCTTGTTTTGTACATACTTAAAATGGCTTAAAAAATGTAATTGTTTGTCAATTATAACTCCCAAGTATTTAATTTCTTCAACTATATCTAATTTTATTTCCTTTATTATAATATTAAGGTCTACATTATTATTAAACTTACTAACTACTAGGGTGTTTTAAAAAAATCGACTTTTTCTTCAAATGGTCGGCAAATTCTTTCAGAGGATGTCAACACAAAGACCTCGTCAAAATTTGAGCTTTTAATTTGAAGATTTAGAGGTCACGGATCGCAATTTTCTATTTCCCATTTAAATAACATGGGAATTTTTTTTTTTTAAACTTTGAAATTTTATATCAAATCAACTTATGTCAAGGATCATCTTAGATTTTCATAGTAAATTTAACGCTCTACAAAAAAGGTCTTCTATCATTTTTCTATAAATTGATTCCTTCCAGAATTATTCGAGGCCAAAGTTTGATTTCCATCGAATTTTCGCGTTTTTTTAACATTTATGGTACAATTATCATTATACGGGTGTCCCGAAATCAGGGGGCCAAACTTAAACATTATTCGTATAAAAATAACACTTTTTTTGTTTAATAAACATGTATCAAAAAATGCTCCCTAAAGGAGCTACGGCCCCCTGAATAGGAGCCTAAGAGGATAATTTTTTTTAAACTATTCCTAGAGGGTTGAACATGAACAAATGAATTTTCGGTAGGTACTTTGGTAATTTTGACATGCTGAATCTAGATCTATGATCAAAACTGTTAAAATTTAATCATAGGCGTAACATTTGGAGGGGGCAAAGTTACAAAAATAGCCCCAACTTTTTTCTGGGTTAATAATTTAATTTTTTTTATGAAATTATGAGAATTTATAGTTTTTTACGAAAAATAGGTACTCTTGATTTGAATTGCTCAGATGCACCATTTTCGAGAAAAATGCATTTATAAATAAATTACTTTGCAAATTATACACATCTCATATTTTCATTAAAACTTTGTAGTAGGCTTTGGACAAAAGTGACGTTTTTTTGTTTTTTTGTTTTTTTTTACAACACTTCCTATGTTTCAGATATAAATATGTGATTTTTTTACTACATGATGCTAAAAGTTGAAAAAACGAGAAGATTCGATGGAAATCAAACTTTGGCCTCGAATAACTCTGGAAGAAATCAATTTATAGAAAAATTATAAGAGACATTTTTTATAGAGCGTTAAATTTACTTTAAAAATCTAAGATGTTCCTTGCCATAAGTTGATTCGATATAGACGTATAAAATTCCAAAGTTAAAAAAAATATTCCTATGTTATTTAAATGGGAAATAGAAAATTGCGATCCGAGACCTCTAAATCTTCAAATTAAAAGCTCAAATTTTAACGAGGTCTTTGTTTTGACATCCTCTGAAAGAATTTGCTGAACATTTGAAGAAAAAGAAAAGGTTGATTTTTTTGAAACACCCTACTAACTACCATATATTTAGATTTTTGAATATTAATACTTTAATACACAGTTCATTTCTTTTCTCATTTCCTCTAGGTCGTAAAAATTTACTTTGAAGTTATTTAATAAGTCTTATGCATGTTATTTTTACCTATTTTAATAACCCTTAAGTTTCAACAATTTAAAGTATTATGAGGGGCGTAATTTTTACGAAAGAAAATTACTTACAAGTGTATTTCACCTAAAGGAAAATTTAACGTCAGAATTTTTACTTAATGGAAAATGTTACTCATAAGTCATAATTTTACGATATTAAGACTACTTTATAACCGTAAATAATTCCTATTCGCCTGGTATTTTTTAGGGTTATTAGGGGTAATAAATACTATCAATATTGAACCAAAACGAAAACTAGGCTTTAAGTGAAAAATAAAATTTTTTTTAGGTCGCCTTAATGAGTTTTTAAGATGGAATCCATTACTTATCTAAACATTTATATATTTTTTCATAAATATTTTTCTAAAATATAATAAGGAAAGTTTTAGTTATTAAAAAATGATTTTTAAAAGATTTTAGAAAATTATGTAGGTTTTAAGTTTTGTTGAATTTTTACCAAAGCAATAATTTTTCTTAAAAGCGTAAAATATTTAGAGGGCATATAATTTCTAAGATGTATCGTGCCTATTTTAATCAATTAAATAAAGTGCGTTTGAGTTTTAATGCAAAATATTATTAGTTTTAACAATTTAAGTTATATTTTTTTAATTTTACCCTTTATTACTTTGTAAGTACCATTTTGTAAAATATAAATTAAAAAAACAAAGAAATTACGAATGTCAATGTTTTAGACAGAGAGAGCAAACAGTTAGTAATTGTAGCGTTATTTTTACGTAAATTTGTGGTATTTATATTATTTTTATTATTTTCTTAGTATATCAAAAAGGTTATTATGTACGTAAAATAACGAAATAAACCATTCCCAAAATTAGGTAATTTTTCGTATATATGCCGTGATAAATTCGTTTTGGTTAACCGTAAAAATTACTTTAAATTTGACTTAGTAGTTATTTAAACTTAAAGGTTTTCGAGAAAATATTTTTAAAGCCCTTTTCTTTAATAATATAAAACGTTCGAAAAATAACTATTAGGGAAAATACCCCTTTTTGATTATTTTCGTTACTGTTCGTTTGATTTGTACATTTTAAAGTTACAAAATTATCTTTCACAGTACATTTTTTATTTACTTCAAAAAACAAAAAATACCATATAAAAGTTTTTTTGAGCGTTTTTTATTATAAAAAAAAAGGGATAAAAGGTATTTCCCGAAAAACCCTTAAACACGTAAACTGTAAGTAAAGTAAAAGTATTTTTATCCAAAATTTTATAGATTGGTAAAGGCGTTTTTTTTTTACTTATGCGTTAATTTTGCATTGTATTTAATACTCTTTTTGGAGCCAAAAACCCATATTTTTACAAAATACAAGGCCTACTATGTCAGTTTTTAAGAGTAAATTTTAAAGAATTCATATTAGCGATTTTTTAAACAAAATCTAAGCACGGCACGTCAAAATTAACGCATAAGTAAAAAAAACGCCTTTACCAATCTATAAAATTTTGGATAAAAATACTTTTACTATACTTACAGTTTACTTGTTTAAGGGTTTTTCGGGAAATACCTTTTATCCCTTTTATTTAATAATAAAAAACGCTCAAAAAACTTTTATATGGAATTTTTTGTTTTTTGAAGTAAATAAAAAATGCACTGTGAAAGATAATTTTGTAACTTTAAAATGTACAAATCAAACGAACAGTAACGAAAATAATCAAAAATTGCTTCAAAAATACAGTTTATCAAGATCTACACTTTTTTAAATATTTCATTATTAAAATTACATTTTGTATATTATTTATAATGATGTTTTACATTTTAAACATCAGGTAGAATTTTTTTATAATAATCTTTTATTTTCAAAAGCATATAACAATTTTCATATTATAACAATAAGTAGCATCTGTCTTTTTTTTAATTTGAACAGAACTATATTTATATATAAAATCAAATTGGTAAAAATTTTAAAAATCATTTATTTACTCCTATTGCATAATTTTGCTTTTTTTCCGTGAATATTGTTAAACATTATAAATTCCCTGCCTAACAACGTAAATAATAAACTCATTATTTACGTTGTTAGGCGAATTTCTATATTCACTGTATTTTGAACGAATTAAATTTAAAATTGGTAAAAAGTGAGGTTAACCATTTGACAGATGCCAAATTTTATTTATTTATTTTTGAAAATCGTTTAATTCGAGATTATGCGCGTTATTTTATTCTTAAATTCTTACTTGCAACATTAAATGGAATTTGTAAAAAAATTGTCCAACATAAAATGACCTCTTAGAACAGCAACAAGTAAACTACTGCTGCTACTACAAACATAGCATAATAAACACCCAGCAGGTACCTAATTTTGATGCTAAAACGAAAAACAGCTTACCTCTTCGAATTTTTTGCATATTAACGTGAAAGCCTTAAAAATCGCATTTGTTGATCCAGTAACTGTGACAATCCTTTCAGGGCAAGATCCGTCAGATATGTTTATTTTGGCACCAGACTAAAAAAGCACCAATTAAACGCTTGTAACAAAAAAGTAAAGATAATGTTTATTAGTTTTATAAGCTAAAGAAAATATTTTTTTTTAATTAATTGATTTTATAAAAGCCCAGTAAGCGATTTTACTTAAATGTTGTCTTTATGTAAAATATTACCTCTTCTCTGAATCTTTTAACTATTTCTCCTTTTTTTCCTATGATGCTTCCCACTTCCTGGAAAAAAAATTAATGTTTTACTAAAAGAAGAAATAAGTTTGTTTACTCTTTTATTATTAAATCAAACAAAGGAAAACAGAATTTCCATGAAAGTTTTTTATTTGCCATATAATAAAGAGCACATTTATATTCATCAAGCTTTTTGTTTGGCTTGAAAAATTATTTCCTAGTTTATTTACCAACTTAATTAAAGTTTGCTTTCGAAAATATTTTATTGCATCTCTTTTATAATTGGCTTCAAGCCCGTTTTTCATTTCTTACAATACACAGTGACTTAAAAAATTATCGACATTAAACTAAAAAAGGTATTTAAAAGTATTGCATTTTACTTATCAACAGTATTTCTTTAAAAAATTTGTTTTTCACTGTATAAATGTCCCCCGATAAAACTAAATGAGTTTTACCTACACTTTTATTGTGTTTTGATCTTTCATAATTAAGTAGATATTACAGCTCAGGTTTAACCGCAATTAATTATTTTTTACAATGTTTTAAAAGTCTTAAACATATCCTCCGTGACTGTTACTCTTTCTGGGTTAACCTATATGTTTTCAAATATCTGAGGTAGTAAAAGCATACTAAAAATATCAGTTCTCTAAGTAAATTAAACACATCCAAAGCAATCGAATCAAATATAAAATATTATTAAAAATTAAAAGAAATAATTTTTATAACCATGTATGTAGGTGTTACAAAAATTGATTCTATCCTCCGTGAATCTGTTTTTTCTCTAAATTTTATGCAACGGATGGCGCTTTAATCATTTTAAATAAGCAAAAACCTCTGTTTACGACATTATAGATGCATGTGATTCCTGAAGGTCAGTAAGAATTTATATGCAGATGAGAGTGTTGCTGTTTTATAATTCAAAAGTTTAAGTTCATTAATTTGCTATTTAAAAACCTATCCACCGTGAAGTGTAATATCTCTTTTTTTATAAATATTATTGTATTTTTAAAAAATATTTAAGTGTCAAAAGATACAATAACTTATTTCAAACATAAAAAGGGATGTTTAAAAAAAACATACGAAATCCTAACCTCCGTGAAGCTTTTATTAGGAGTTTTATGTAATAAAAAAATATTTAAAAAAAAATATCTTTTGTTCTTTATTACTTTGTCTACTCCGACATTGACAAGATGTGACTTTATGGCGTTTTAGTCACGGGCTGAAGTTAGCACCAGTGGCTTTTGGGCATTTTAGTCACGGGCTGAAGTTAGCTTTAATATAAATTGGAAAAAAGTGAGGTTAAATCCGTTGACATTTTACAGATGTCAAATGTTTAACAAATAAAATTGGATTTAAATTTTTCTTTGTGTTCGTTGTAGATAAAGTATAGTATGCAACTTGTTTTATAAACTTCTCTAGACACTCGTTTTTATTAAACACTCGCTCGCAAGCTTCGCTTGTACCTAATAAAACTCGTAACTAAAATGACGTTTATAAAACTTGATACATATTTTAATGTACCTACTATTATTAAATTTGAACAAAGTGAGGTTAAACCATTTGACAGATAAAAGCGCTTTAGACACAATTTTTGAATCCCCAGTATGTTAATGAAATATGAACGACAAAAATATAATTATAACCAGGTGTGTGCTAAGAACTGCAAGCATAAATGACACACAGTGAATACTTGGCAATAATAATAGTGATTGACCCAGACTGTGTTTGTCTATAATTAAATCGAATTGGCAGCAAACAAAAGAGAAACTTCAAATACAAATAAGTTTTGAGCAGGTTTAATTATTAATCTATAGTGCACGAGTTGCCCCTTTTGAATTTTCATCCTAGCTGGCCGCACACAACATCATCTATTTGTTATTTGATTTACTTAACCAAATTGAAACCGTGTGGTTTGCAGCCCACATTTGCTTTTAACTTTAATTAATTACTTTAAGAGGAATTTCCATGTTTTAAAGTGCTTTTTAACTTTTCGACCTATTGTAATATAATTATTTATTGCTATTAAAATTATAAATACTAAAGTGTCCTCAGACTGCAGAACAAATAAGGAAAAACAAATAAAAATGCTTTTGCCCTTTCTTTAGTCTTCTTGGATTTTTCATGTTTCATTAAAAAAATATTGACATCGCTTTTTTTTATTAAAAAAACATTAAAAATCAATTGATCCATATTATTGCATGTTATTAAAATTCATCAGGTTTCTAAGTAAAACAAATCTCATTACAAACTTCATATGGCTTTCATTATATAATTACACAGAAAAGTGTAATGGAATATTTGATGAAACCAATTTAGTTTGCTTTATTTTTATTTTAATATTCAAACTTTTGGTCCAACAAAGCTCTGCTACATATGGCAACACTGCATACATACAACTTTTATTGCTTTGTTAAATTTGCGGCTATTTTATTGGTTCCTTGCAAATTTAGTTTGCCTTGAATTTGACAACCTAAGTTTTCAAACTGTCAAAAATGTTTAAAGTATTATATATATTAAATGCAAAATAAAAATAGTGTTACCACACAAAACACGAAAATGTTCTTGCAGCAAAATAGAAAACAAAACAATTAATTAATAATCTATTATCCATTGTTTACTGGGATCTGGCAATTCTAGATGTTAATTAAAAATTTTGCAAGCAATTGTTTAAAAACATGGCACATACCTTTCCTTGCATTATCAATCTAATGGTTAGGGTCACATTGGGGTCATCGTTAAGTATTTTTGTGTCCAAATCCATGGTGATTTTTTAAAGGGGTCTGGTGGAAAGGGAAGGAACGCGGTTTCAATTCTGGAACAAAAATATTTTTAAGTAAATATTATTAAAATTGCTAAAAATTAGTGTTTTTATCAACCATTATCTCAATATCAGCATTTCATACACAAACAACTCTTTTGTGTTATCTGCAAGAGATTAATGAACCGGCATCAAAAATTACGCACGCTAATGTCGGTGTTGTAATTTAATCAACTTAATAGAAACAATGCACATTCTAAATTTAGAACAATGCATTTTTAAATCAAAAACAAACTCCTTGTCGCAGCACTCTAAATAAACTTATTATAAATGGAACAAACGAACAACACAAGCCTTCTTATTCATAACCACCAACTTGACGCAAACACAATAAAAACAACGTAATAACTGCGTTAATGCATAAAACAGTTTATAACGAATCGATAGACAAAACGTAAACTTACTTCGAACCCACTTTTGCGGCGTTTAAACTAATTTTTAATCGGGCTTAAAAACGTTGACGCTCTCTTTGCACGTGCTTCGGACGACAATGCTGCCAACGGACGCGCAACTAAAGCGAAAGGCACCGTCACTACTTACGCGCGCGATTTAAATAAAATTCATGTGTTTTGTATGCGAGTATGCGATAATATTTAGTATTTGTTAATATTTTGATTAGTTTAGTGGTATAGTGGTATTTTTTTTAAATAAAAAATTAATCAAATCGACTTTCTATTAGGTTTTTGCCATGGTACCTAGTGCGCATGCCGATTTGCTTTTGTTATTATTAAATGGTGGTCGTGTTTTGAATAATTCGTATTTTTTGTGGTTTTTACGAGTTCCAATGGGGTTTGGTGTGAGATATGCATAACATTAGTGACTTTAAAGTGTTTTTAGTAGTTTCCAAGAGTTTATTATTAGGGTAAGTCATATTTTTATTTATGTTTATTGGAAAGATGCGTTGTTTATTTTGTTTCCATAGCAATCTTTTTAGATGTGTGATATTTTGGACTTAATTTGAATGCTTTTAACTTTTTTATTAGGAAATAACGTAATATTTCAAAGCTTTAAAAATTCCCAGGGAAAATTTGCTAGATCGGAAAAAATAACGCTTTCCTTCCTAAATTAAATTAGCTTTAGGCATTAGCTTGTCATAATATTTTTACGGCGCAGCAGGCAAATTGTTACTTATACTGGTTAGTGGGTAACGTTTTCAAGTAATTTATGATTGTAATTAAAATCTTGTTTTTCCCGGATTTACTATATTTAATATCTGGATAATTGAATTATGTCAGAGAGAGACATAAACAAATTGTTTAACCACCCAGTAAGAAGACAATTTAATTAAAAGTTTATGTATTTATTTTGGGTGACGTTCATAATATCGAAATTCACTTTATCGAATTCAAAATATCGAACACTTTTTATCGAAAATCAAAATATCGAAAATACAAAATGTCGAAAATCAAAATATCGAAAATTAAAATGTCGAAAATGATAATATCGAAATTTTATTTAATCGAATTTTCAATTTATCGAAAATAAAATATCGACGTTCATAATATCGAAATTCACTTTATCGAATTCAAAATATCGAACACTTTTTATCGAAAATCAAAATATCGAAAATACAAAATGTCGAAAATTAAAATGTCGAAAATACAAAATGTCGAAATATTTTCTTATTTTGAATTTGATATTTTGTTTTCAATTAATCGACATATTATTTTAATCCGAAGTGTATATGTACAGAGGCGCCTCTGATATAGAAATGTACTCAAACTCAACAACACAACCCAACCGACCCCGCGCATCTCTAGGAGCCAGGGAGCCAAGATAATTCGGTGCATAACCGTAACTTTATCTACAGAGGCGCCTCTGTACATATACACTTCGATTTTAATCATACATTTTAATTTTCGATATTTTTAAATCGATATTTTAATTTTCGAAATTTTAATTATTCGACATTTTCAAATCGACATTTTAATTTTCGATATTATCATTTTCGACATTTTAATTTTCGAAATTTTAATTATTCGACATTTTCAAATCGACATTTTAATTTTCGATATTATCATTTTCGACATTTTAATTTTCGATATTTTGATTTTCGACATTTTGTATTTTCGATATTTTGATTTTCGATAAAAAGTGTTCGATATTTTGAATTCGATATAATGAATTTCGATATTGTGAACGTCACCCATTTATTTTGGTTAAAGGTACATTTTTTCTGGTTTATAAAGTTTAGATGGATTAAAAGATTTTTATTATTACATTTATTTTATAATTAATTTTCTACTGGATGCAGCGAATTTTTTTCTCTTGGTTATCATTTATGTTAAAATGTGTTCATTTTTTTTATCTAGACTGCGGCAACGTTGCAAATTTAGGGTTTTGGTTGGTAAATAAAGAATCAAAATTGTTCGCATTGATTAAAACAAACTAAGCTAGTTATAAATCTAATTGTGGTTATGTATAAATTATTGTAGGTTACATTGTGCAGTTGTCAAGTTGAGTTGTCGAAATTCGTAGTTAAAAATGCATATAATTTGGCTTTGGTGGTGCTTGGATGAGTAAAATCATATAAAACGTAGTCAAATATAGGCTGCTTTACGGCCCAGAAGAGAAAGTATTCCTAGCGGATAATAATATTCGCTTTGAAAAGAATTTATACCTATAAAAGAAATTAAAATTTTTTGTGAACGTAAATGTTGTCCAATGGTAAATAATGTGAAAATAATGTGTGATGTAATATTTATAAAACCAAATTCGTTACTTTTTTACTCCAAAAATGTCCGCCTTAAGGCGATGTACTTTTTCTTCCATTGTGGCATTTGGCATAATTTCATCAAAATGAAGTTTTGCCCTCAAAAGGGCTTTTACATTCGAATTCGTTGCTATTATTTTTGGCATAATTATTTTTATTTATAATTGACAAGTAAATTATCAATAATAAATATTATTGTCAATTTGACAGTGTAAAAGTATTTAATGAAATTCTTTAGCAGAAGTACCATTTTTAAATACTAAAAATACCAAGTCAAACTGGCATAAGCCACCAACCTAACAAAAAAACCAGTTAAAAAAAAATTAACTGTATGTTATTATTATTCAATGTAGGTTGAACAAAATGAATTTATAATGTCAAAAATAATAAAACCGAGCCTAACTAGAATAACAATTTATGGAAATATTAAATATTAAATTAAATTAAACTAAAATATTTAATACAAAATACAATCAGGTATTGTTAAATAGTGCCAAATAATTTAATTCATTCATGTCATCAGGCATGACATTTATTAACTACAAAATCGGATATTTGTAATTGCCAATGATAGTGTTTTCAGCAAAGGATTTATCAGTTATATTTGCATAATTGAAAATCAAAATCTCCCGATATTTATTTTATTGTTTTGGAAAACCTGGGGACAGGTAACTATCAAATAATTAAAACATTTAATTTTACTATAGGTAGTTAATAGAAATAATAATTTTTTTATTAATACATTTGGGTTTTTTGTAATTCACTGTAGGTACAAAATAAAACAGTAAATTACTGGGTATCTTAATATGATATCACACCTACGAGGTGTGTTCAGAAAATATCGGGAATTTTCGTTTTTTGAAACAAATATTTATTTATTCGTCTACATCAATGTTGTCGCCTTCAAAATAGTCCCCATTGGATATTATGCACATGTGCCAGCTCTTCTTCCAATACTCGAAACACTTCTAAAACTCGATCTATGGGATTGCCTTTAGTTCTTTCAGCGATGCGCTTTTAATGTCATCTATGCTTGCAAAACGACTTTAAGGTTCTCTTTATTTTTGGGAATAGGAAAAAGTCATACAGAGGCATATCTGGCGAATTTGGAGGCTGGGGCATCATTACAGTATTGTTTTTGGCCAAAAATGTTGTTCAAAATTTAACAATTTTAGAACAAATTTTGCTCCACGCGTTTCATACCCGAAACATTCGAAAAAATTTCATGGGATGAGCCAATCGATATACCAATATCATCAGCGACTTCTCTGATGGTTTATAACCATTTCTTCCACTTTTTCCATGTTTTTATCGGTTGTTAATGTGCTTGTGCGTTCGGGGCGTTCGTCATCTTCAACGTCTTCACGGCCATCTTGGAAACTCTTATACCACTTGTAAGATCTTGTTTTACTTATAGCAGACTCACTATAGGCCTTTGTTAACATTTCACAGAATTTATTTCATTTTTTAAGCAAAATTGGATACAAATTCTTTGATCCATTTCTTTTAACGAACGAAAAATCGCCGAGCTCATAAAACACGTCTAACCTTAGCGACTGCCACAGACAAAGTAAACAATGAAAACAGCTAAAGTTTTTATCGTACTTCGGGGGCATGTATACCAACATAATAAAGAAAATTTTATGACAACCGGACCCTCCGAACCCGCGAAATTTAACAATTCCCGTTATTTTCTGAACACACCTCGTATACGCGTATATTATACAGTAAAAATAAGTTGAATCCTATTATGTCGTTAATTGGTCCATTGCAAGAAATAAAAGTACACAATATGGGATTGAAACTACAAAATATATGATCACTGAATAAAAAAGTTTAATGTAGGCTTTGTTTTCATATATATGTATGTATATAGCGCGGGTTATCGTATTTCCTATTTGTTATAAAAATATCTTATTACATAGGCATGCAAAATATAAATAAGGCACCTACCTACCTACATAATTACGAGTATATTTCAGACTTTGCGGGAAAATGAATGGAAAAATGTTTTAGTTGACTTGGGTAGATAATGAAATCCAATTATTTTTTTTAACAAACCGCCGTGAAAAGATTTCGGTGCGGAAGTCTGGAGTGGGTAATTGTACTCGGAAGTTTTTACTTTGCTTTCATTACGAAACGTTATAATGTTATAAACTAACCATTGCAAAAAGCTCGCTGTTTAATTTCATTAAAAGGATTTGTGCATTTTTTTTACTTTAATAAAAAATTCTTGGTTAATGTACTTTTTGGTTAAAAAAGGTAATATTTGGTGTTTTTTTTGGTTTATTTAAGATAAAATGTCACCTCTGAATATTACACTATGATAGTTCGAATTACTAACATTGAGTACGCCTACCTATATTACCTAATTTTGGGCTGCTGATTTTAAAAATGCTACTCGTTTTGCTCCAGGACGTCTTGGATTCGAAATAAGTGCGTAATAAAATGCTCTGCCCAATTATCTCAATTTTCAAAAAACACCCGCCTTCCGCTGTCCGTAAGTTTGAATTCCAATAACTTTGTTAAAAATTATCGGATCTTATTGATTTAAAAACCAAGTGAAAGCCTAACAAGCCCTTAGTAAACTCTTTCAGAAAATTTTTGTTTAGTTATTTCAGAATAATTTTTTTTAATTTGAAACTTGTGAAACACACATTTTCGCATGTCCCATTAGCGTTTTATAAAACTTACATACATGTTTTTTTTTTAATATTGAATAACCAAAACATCCTTAGTTAATACAGTAAACAATTTATATATAAAATAATTAATTTTAATCTACTTTT